TCCCTTCCGACCCTAGAAACTATGAAACTATGAAACTTACTTAACACAGAAATGCCCCAAGCTGAAATTCCCCAGTTCTCAGAGTGTCGGCGCAGTAACCGAAGAGTGAATATGGGGTGACTCAATTTGTCCTCAAACAGTTATTGATAGATGGGTCATTCTCAGCTGATCCAAACTGGAATAACTACACTGAAATGGAGAATGCTGACAACTTATCCCTACAGAAAATGTCGCCATATGTTAAACTCGAGATTTTTTTTTTAAATGACACTTGCCTCCAGAACTTTTATGCTTTCAATTACTCTCTCTTTGTAGTCCTTGTATTCAGCTTCCTTTTTATCTGCCACCTCACCCAGGTTCTTGATCCGTTCTTCAGTCCGCAGAAGCTCTTTTTCAGCTTTCTTGTTCTGATGTCAGAAAGCAAAATGACAAGCAATAATTATTTCTGCAATATGCTCTGACTCACCTGTAACCTTCAAAAAATCTCTGGGCTAGTGAACAGGGGTACAGTTTTCACTTAAAGCACTGTGCCCACTGCTTTAAAATCGTTATTAATGGACTAGCAAAGCCAGATCCTCAGGCTTTGAAATTGTAATTTATGCCAGCCAGCGGACCAGCCATTAAACGTGATTACTTCAGCAGAACCAGCATGAAAGACAGGGGATTACGGGATTTGTTACCGTGTCAGCTCATTAACCTACCTTCATAATTAGTTCAGTCTGCCGTTTTTTACCAGCTTCAAGCTTCTTATTGGTTTCATTCAGGAAACTCTCGTCTGTTGTTGCCAAGAACTCCATTTGCTTTGTAAGGTGAAGGCGTTTCCACTCGAGCAGTGCTCTAGTGATAAATACAGAAAAGGTATCACCCACTACGTGACACCACTGCTGGCTGAAAAATGAGCTGCCAGGCAAGCGTCAAATAACTCAGCAGACAGTGGCTTTAATTGTGAGAGGTTCCCATCTGCCACTGCAGGGGCAGAGGAATTCCCAGGACCGAGGCATCTCTCATGGAGAATAAAGAGGAAGAAACAACATGGTCCAAGATCTTCAGTTCCTGGTTTTGTAAGGCAATGACTTACAAGCAACTAGGAGGCCTCCGGGGAGAAAGAAGCTGATAGAGGTACACAGAACTTCCTCTCTGCAAAGAAGACAAGTCCCTCTTGGGCTGGAAGAGCAGTAAGTCTTTAGCACAGCTGAGTTGTGGGGACACAAAACTGTCCCTGCTGCAAGTCTTTGGAGTTCTGAATTTGCTCAGGAAACCTCAGAAAAAACCAGGGGAAGTTTTACTAGCCTCTTACCCGTGAACTCCATTTATATTAACTAGCTTTTCCCCTAACTATCCTCTGCCACTGTGCATGCAGTTAAACAGACATGTGCTCCTTGCACATGAAAGGACTTTGATTTAGGAAAAGGCTGCCTGGTATCCTAATCCATTCTCCAGTGCCTCCATGCAGGATGCAGGGTGCTGCAAGCTGCCTCTTGGCAGACATCAAGAATAGGAAATTAAGCATGGCACTTGTGATAAGGGACTTGCGGTGGTCCTTGTATACCATGTTTTCTTCCTTTCTCAAAGGTTTCTTTACAGGCAGCATAGAGAAGGAAGGAAAGGCGGGGGTGTGGCACTCCACGTCAAGGAGCAATACATATCCTCTGCCAGCAAAATGGGGTCAGAGAAGGGGCAAGCTGAAGTGCTCTGGGTCAAGATGCAAGGGGGCCGTGGGGAGAGGGATTTAACGG